TCCAACGCAAACTGTGTGATGTGTGTCAGCTACCATAACACATACTTGCTTTAAATGCTTCAACGGCAGCCATGACGCACAGCCTGCAGCTTCTCTGCAGAGCTAGAATACAAGCAAGAAGGCAAGTGTGTCCACTCGGGGGTCAGTCAGAGGGTGACGCAGCAGGGAGGGCATAACCAGCCAGTTTGCCGGGATGCCAGGAGACAGAGCAACAAGACGCCAGAAGCTGCACCATCCGCCAACTTTTCATTTTAAATCGCGGTAATTAAAAATGTTTTTTACCACTGGAAGAACCTTAGATATTAGCCTGATTCTCATCTGAGGGTTTGAGAATAAGAAAACTGTACAGCCCAATGGGTTCAACCCCGGTCACACTAGAACCACTGGGGAAACTTTAAAAGCATGGGCAGACCAATTAAAGGAGACTCTTTGGCGGGGTGGGGCTTTGCAACCTTCCTTTTTAAGTACCCTCCAGGTGATTCTAAAGTGCGGCCAGGCTGACCACCACTGCTAGCCCAAAGTCTCCCAGCTAGTTAACAGCAGGAATAATATTAGAACCCATGTCCCTGAACTCATCCTCTGTTCTTAGGAGCCGTCGAGACAGTTCCGACTCATAGCAACCCTGTGTACAACACAACGAAACCCTGCCCAGTCCTGCACCATCCTCACGATCATTGCTGTATTTGAGCCCATTGTTGCAGCCTCTGTGTCAATCCATCTCATCAAGGGTCTTCCTCTTTTTCACTGACCCTCTGCTGTACCAAGCATGATGTCCTCCTCCAGGGACTGGTCCCTCCTGATAACATGTCCAAAGTATGTGAGACAAAGTCTCGCCATCCTTGCTTCTAAGGAGCATTCTGACCGTACTTCTTCCAAGACAGATTTGTTCGCTCCTCCGGCAGCCCACGGTATATTCAGTGTTCTTCACCAACACCATAATTCAAAGGCATCAATTCTCCTTCGGTCTTTATTCATCGTCCAGCTTTCACACGCGTATGAGGCGACTGAAAACACCATGGCTTGGGTCAGGCGCCCCCTAGTCCTTAAAGTGACATCCTTGCTTTTTAACACTTTAAAGAGGTCTTCTGCGGCACATGTGCCCAATGCAACTCCTCCTCTGTACCCCGGCTTTCCCATCTGGCATACAATCCTTTATTTCTGTATGAATAGCAAGGACTGTGAAACGGGTTTTAAATAACTAAAAAGTATAAAACGTAGCCAGACGAGAAACCAGTGATAGTTCATCAATTTTACTTTTTAGTGATCACTTCAGAATAATGAAGCATAAACCTACAGGGTTTATTAAATCTCCCCCCTCTCAGTCCGCCCCTTTGTTCCCCAACATTACAGAAATCTCAGTATCATCTCTGGTATTAGAGTCAGCAGCACCTTTCACTAGCCACTCACGAAAGCTGTTCACAAAAAATATGAATTTTATATTTAAAATTTAAAGCTTCTGACAAGTTACTAAATGAAAACACAGAGTCTTCTTGATTTGAAACCGGGCTCCATGGTAAAAAACAAGCAAGCAAGCAAACTTGGAAAGCATGGAATTAAAGTAAAACAGGTTTGTCTAATGCAAGGCTTCTCAGAGGCTTCAATATGCTCCT